CGTTTATGGAAGATACACAGCAGAAGGGTTTGGAGCTGGACAGAAACCCAGCTCCACAGCCTGCTGGCTTTGTGACCTTGGGTAAGTTAGACTCAAGTTCCTCATCTGTGAAGATGAGGGTATATATAGGAAAAAACAGTTTTTCCTCCTATATTCTCAACACAGAGCACTTCTGGTCACCACCTGGCTTGGCTCTTACTCCTAGAGATTCTGATTTCATTGGTCTGGGATATGGCCTGGATGTTGGGATCTTCAAAACTATAAATGGAGATAATAATGTAGCACTGTCCAATAAAAATATAAAGAGAGTCACACGTATAATTTTATGTTTTCTAGGAGCCACATTTTGAAAGGTGAAATTAATTTTAATATAATATTAATATCTTATCACTGACAAATAATTAAAATAATATATTAATGATAAATTCTACTTAACTCAGTATATTCCAAACATTAACATTTCAACATACAACCATGGAACAATGACAGAGATATTTTACATTCTTTTTCTCAGACTAAAGCTTTGAAACTGAGTCTGTACTTTAAACTTATAGCACATCTCTAATCAGACTGGCTATATTTCAGGGTTCAGTAGTGACCTGTGGCTTGTGGTCATTGCTTCAGAAAGCACAGGAGTAGTTAATGTGCAACCAAGATGGAGACCCACTGGGGTAAGGGCACGCTTGGTGTTCACAGACCAGACCAAAGCTCCCGGACCACACATGGGTTCTCTCGGCATTATTATTCTTGAGGATTGAGGGAGTTGACTGCAGCTTCCCTCCTTTGGGCTAAGAATTAGGTGTGGTCATTAAGGACATTCAGTGAAGCTCAATTTTGTCTTAAATTGAGGCATGCAATTTAAAAAGGATGTGCAACCTGTTTGAAAGCATGGCGATCAACTAAAGCAAATAAATCTAAATGACTTGATGCTATCAGAGAAGACAGAAGGACCAGTGCAGCATTAACAGAGCAGGAGGTAAAACTGTGGCCAATTTTGTCTCCTTCTGAGTGAGCCCACAGCCTGAGTAAATAGGGCTGTGGGAATCCCAGGCAAGAGGATGGCTGTTAGATCATCCCTTGATATTCTACGCAACTCTTTGATTCAGAACTTTCTATTCAAGTACAAATATCACTGGATATTACATAGCCTGTCATTCTCTTTGAAAACTCTTAGGTTTATTCCTAGGGGAACAGAATTTATTCTCTCTATTCTTTCTTATAATGATAAACTAATATTTAAAAGAATAACCTTGCAAATTTATCATAAAAGCAAGCAAGATTTCTGAAAAACACAACAATAAAGATCTGCAGAGATAAGCGCTCTTAGCACTGAAGTGTGTAGTCTTTCAGAGTATTTTTTTTGGTGTATATACTTACACACATTTTATACAATAGGATTCAATAGTGAATACACTTTTATAGCATGCTTCTTTGTCACATAATATTCTTACAAGTATATTTTCATGTAATTTAGTAATCTACAGCATCATTTTAAAATCACAGCCATTGTACCATTGTTTGGCTGAATAATGACCTACTTAGTCAGTGCCCTATCATTGGCCATATACGCTATTTCCCCCACATTGTCAATCATAGCATAAGTAATCATACTGAAAGAGCATCAGCTCGTCTTTGAATCCAATGTGATGCTTGCCTTAAAGCTAGCTGAGGACAAGGCAGAGGGAAAGGAGGCAACATTTCCGTCTCACTAAGTCTGACCCATTTTGTAGTTTTATCTGGCTTGGAGAAAAGCCAGCGAGATGCAGTTTGCAGAGGAATGCATAGTAATGCTGTGACAATGATACCAGACAGCTCAGCTGCGAGTGACACCACAATGTGCCGCCCACAGTGGACATTAGGTTTTCTCACCGCTCTGCTAAGAAGGACCTGCAAGCCCCACAGCAAGCCTTAACGTGTCAACTGCAGCTTGTGCTTGGATGTGGATTGACTTTAGTTCTTCCTGGTGCCATTTTTCCCCTTCTGGTCTTAGTATTAACCACTTCTCTGGAACAGAATCATTCCTGCAGTAGGTTTGTGGGTGGGTTAAAAAAATTTAATAATCCAAAAAACCTCTGACTTTAAGATTTTAGTTTCTCTGCCTTATGTAGTTTACATAATTATTTGTTCATGCAGCGTTTATATATTACTTTTCTGATCATTTTATACTCTACGATATTTTACACTATATGAGGTTTTCTGGCAATTTCCCCAGTGCCAGCTTCTCAGTTTGCCTATGCAGTCATCACTCCCGTTGCAATAAAGCAAATAAATAGCTGCAGAGCTGCCCAGCATTCAAATAAGGCAAACGCCAGCCTTTTGAGCTGCTAAACTGAATTGAACACCTCAAACTGATTTAGGGAACCGTCTCTCTTCTCTTTCATCAATCCTATTAAAACCATACACAGGGAAAAATAGCAAGGTTTTCTTATACTTGGAGGACCAGGAAAATGTACTCTGCTAGGGTTTGATGCATGTTATGTCTTTATGTCATGCACAAGCAGTCTTAAGTAGTCATTTTAAAGGTGAACTGGTAAAGTTGTGTTCAATCCATCATATGTTCACATGCAAATACAACAAAACAAGTATCTATTGTGTCTTTACTTTGTGCCAGGTCTCTTTGCCATGTCAGCAGTGACGGATAGGAGCAAGAAATATGCCTTCCTTCAAGGAGTTTGAAGTTTAATTGGGAGGGACACACACACTAACCATAAAATTCAGTTCCATCTGAGATAAGAACTACAGCAGAAATAGGGACATGATGCTCCCAGAGCACCCAGAGGGAGCACTTCATCTGTTGGCGTTGGAGGAAGTTTCAGAGAGAGAGAGAGAGAGAGAGAGACAGAGACAGAGACAGAGACAGAGACAGAGACGGAGAGAGAAAGGGATACTTGAGCTAGGTGTGGATGAAAAGCAAATGGCGATTGGGCCACACATACTAAGGGGACCATCCAAACAATGTTGCAGGTGTTAAAATGCAGGCTCTGAAGAGAAAGTGGCAAAGGATTCCTTAAGCTGATGCCTAAGGTATGTATGGGGGGGTGGAGCAAGATGTAGCTGAAGAAGGAAGGAAGGGAGGGAGGAAAGGAGGGAGAGAAGGGAGGGAGGGAGGAACGGGAGGGAGAGAGGGAGGGAGGAAGGGAGAGAGGGAGGGAGGGAGGGAAGAAGGGAGAAAGGACTGACTGTGGGTGAAGAATTCAGAGTCGGCCCAGCTGAGGGCAGGTCGAAAAGGTTAAACAGGGACGGACTAATGATGAGTTCATCATTCTGAGGAAATGCATGAACATACTTGATTAATCAGAAATGTCTCCAGTAAGTTGAGAGGAAAACTGACTTATCATTTTAAGGTGGGCTAGCTAAGAAAAAAAAAAAAGGTCCCAATTTGAAACAAAGTCAGATCACTGGGCAGAAAGATTCCTGAAATGATAATTTTAAATAAACCCCTGGTCAAAAGCAAGACACATTCATTCATTGTCTTGTTTGTTCTTTTATTCATTCATTCGTTAAAGCTAAGATTGGAGTCAGCCTGCCTGGGTTCAAACCGTGGATCCTTCAAGCTCTGTGACTTGGTGCAAGCTCCTAAACCCCTCTGTACTTCAGTTACACATTTATAAAGTTGGAATATTAATATAGTGTTAACCTGTAAGGTTGGTGTGGGAAGTAAATGACTTAGTGGATCGAAAGCTCTTATAACAGGGCCTGGTACGAATGCTCCATCGTGTGAGGCATTTTGCTCTGTGTGTCTCTGTATTCAGAGCTCTCTATGTATCAGCCACATTTGAAATACTGGGAATAAAAAGACAAAGGTGATATGACCCTACCCTCAAGAAGCTCGTAGTCCAATGTGGAAGGTACACGGGAGCAAACCAGGACAGTCCAACATGGCAAACGCTAGGATAGAGTGATGTGTCACACAGTTGGCGGGGATGGCGAGGGTGGTGAGGGAGCCAGGCTGAGTCTGTCCTCTACAGATCCCAGCAAAGTTCCCCTGGTTCCATCTGGTCAATCCTCCCTTAAGTTCCTTGTTTTCTTTTGTTTGCATCCCTTAGTGTAGGAAGGATATTCCAATTTCTTCTAGATCTTTCATTTAAAAGGAGTATTTGCCTCATTTAAAGTTCCTTTAAACAGTAAAGGAACTTTACTGTTTAAAATTCTAGCTCTCTTGAATGGGAAAATAGATAAAGGGGTATTTCTGAGATGTGAGGTGAGGGGTGTATTGGGAGTATGCCCCGCCTTGGCCAGTGGGAGTAGGAAGGAGACCCTGGGAGGGGAGAGCAGCTGGGAGAGAACCACTCCTGGGGAAGGACAGTCAGAGAATAGAGCCAGGTTTTAACTACACCGCGGAAGCATCTCAGGGCCTTGGTGAAGCCGTGGTAAAGACAAGGAGGAAAGAAGAGGTGGGGACAGTTGGCGGAAGGCTACCTTCTCTTTCTTCAAGGCTGTAAGGCAGGGAGTAGAGGGTTGGTGCACTGGAGAAAAGGTAGCTAATGTAATGGGGTTTCTGCCTCTCTACTTCTAGTGTAACTACCCGATGCCCCTGTTAGTCAATGACCCACGTTGGGAAAGGTGGTGACATATCATAAGCTTCATTTGTTTTTCTTTTTTGAAGTCCATTACTACGTTCAGGACACCCTGCCACTAAGGAAGTTGTGGAGGGAAAACCTGGAACCACTCTGAACCGCAACGGATTTTTGGAAGCCCTTGGCTCTTTCTGCTGCCAGCCCTGTTTATAAAATGCTGCTACTCACAGTAACAATGTACTGTTTTAAAGCATCTCATACGCGTCATTTCCTTTTGATAGTCACAACAGCCCTGTAAGGTAGGCCTTATGGAATGGGCCTTATTGTTATTTTTATGCAACACATGCTGATAAGTGAGGATAAACTCGTCCAAAGGTGAGGGGCAGAGACAGAGCTCTGGTCTGGGTGTCCTGGCCTCAGATGCAAGTTTGCATTTATCTCTCTGCAGGCCCCTGCAAGCAGTGAGCAAGACAGATGGCTTACCTCCTTTCCTTCTTCCACAGAAAGAAAACTTGGGCAGAGCCACCTCACAGATGGGATAGGAGAAATTCAACACAGACGAGCCTTGAGACATGAGAGCTAGGTCAAGAAATAGCTCTTTGATGTCCTCTCCTGGAGGAAAGAGAAGAACAGCTTTACTCTTACTGCGTGTTTCACTGTATATCAACGGCATTCACAGTATACAGCAGCATGAGCTAAAGAACCTTTTGTTTCCATTAATCTGCTCTGCATGGGGAACAGTTTTCTTCTTTCCTTAGTGAAACAACATTTAGGCAATGCTGCGGGGGATTATGACGAGACCCGGGGTATGAAAGGTGGCTGTTTCTCAAAATACCTGCTTGGAGCAAGGTAGTTAATCGGCTGAGCTCCCCACCCTGGTGCTATGGCCTTTTCATGTGAAGTCTGCAGGTCTGGCTTCTGGAATTTCTCAGCTGCAGAGTATCATTTGTTCCCCATGATGGCGGTGGGGTGTGGTCACGCCTACATACACCTGCTGCTGTCACCAGGGAGGTATTGCAGCACAGGTACACGGGAAGCTTCGGTGGGTCCCATGGTGGTGGCTCCCAATTCTCTCTGCCTTTTTCTCCATTCCTCCCTTTTATGTTCCACCCACTCTTCCATTTCTCTTTTCTCTCTTCTTCTCTCCCCATAACGTTTCTCAAGCTGCTGCTAGAGTCCAGATACTGGATAAGATTCTAGAAATACAAAGTTGCGTGAGAGTTCTTGATTTCTGTGAATGTTCCTTCCACTTTTCTGGAACGATTCCACATGCTAAGTTTATTAAACCTCTCTACTTTGATTTTGATATAACTGTTTTGGAAAAGGAGATAGTCTAGTAGCTACAGCAAATATATTGACTAACTATAATTGCATGATCATATGATGAAAATTAAACAATCAGAAAGTGCTCTAGCTTATTGATTGGGTAGGGGAGAAAATATTACATCTCCTCCTTGCCTATGTCAAGGTTTAAGAATTTGTATTAACTATTTGGGATACAAAATAACACAAATGACAAACCGTACTGCTGGTAGTAGATTTATTTGTTGCTGAGATAACTAAAAAAGTTAGGAGATCCTGAGTAGACATTAATACTTAATCTCAAAATATTCCCCCCCCCTTTTTTTTTTTGCTGCGTATACTGATTCCAGATGCTTATATCGTCCAAATGAGTGCCTAGAGTCTTTTTAATACAAAAGTACAGCTTTAAGTGAGAGTTCTACCCTACCTGGATATAACCTAGAGAGAGATTTGAAAATGAAGATGTAAACAGTGTTAATTCTAGAGAGTGGTGAGGGAACAGCAGTTTAGCCAGTCATTATAGTTAATGTAAGTCATTGGGGGTGTGGAGTTGGAAGAGGCTGTGCAATGTTTTATTTCATGCTAATCATTTTTTTTTACTTACTCAGAATTATTCCAAATCTAATGTTGATATTTGATTTTAATTGCTTGGAACACTTTTCAATAGAAAAGCCAAAATCTTGTAATGGATCTGCGAAGAAGAAAACAATAGATTAGTTGTGAGTACATTGTATATTCTGCAAACATATTCAAAATTTGCACCAACATTGTTTTCACACGAATTACTGCATTTATTCAAAAGCATATTGCCCAACACTTTTTAAAATAAGCCTGTGATATTTTCATCAGCTCCCCCCACTGTCTTCAAAGCCAACGTCATGTTCACTCTGACAACAGGGCCTCCATCCATGGAATGAACAGTGTCTTGCTAGTTGGGTTATATCTTTACTTGTTAACGTTTTTATCATAGAAAAATGTTATCATTGCCCAAATTCTTCTAGTTCCTGAACATTTGGCTTTAAAATTGCTCATGGATTGCATAGAGCCTTTAATAAAGTATCTATTATTATTATCAAAACAGAGGGAGGTACAAAAGTTAGGAGAGCTTGAGTAGACATTATTACTTAGGCTTAAAATATTTTCTTAAAAGATTTTCAAAGTTAAGATCTGCCTTTGTAATTCCATTTTATCTCATCCCATCCCATCCCATCCCATCCCATCCCATCCCATCCCGTCCCATCTCATCCCATTTAATGTAATACTTCCCCCCCAAAATATTCCACTATGTACAGGTATTGTGCTAGATATGATGAAGCTATAAAGATAATATTTTCTGCATATAACTTCTGCTCATTCACAAAGCTCCAATGGTTTATCTATGCCTCAGAACAGAGTCCAGAAATGAGTGACTGGCTCCAACTTCCATCCTCCACATCATAAATCCATCCTCCATTCCTTGAGACCAACACACCAGCACATTCCCACCATGTTTGATTTGCTTGCGTGCTTTCTCCCATTTGCAATGGTCTTAGTCTTTTTGGCTATTATCTAAATCCTCAGGTCTTGCTCATTCCCATCTTCTTTGTGAAGGCTTCCCTGACCCCAAATATTCTCTTGTTTCCTTGAATTTTTACAATGGTGATGTCTGGCACTCTCGGTAAGTGTACAAACATGTATCACTCTGTACTTTGCTACACGGCTTATCCTGCAACACTGAATCTAAACATGACATTCATTAAAGGCCAGAGCTAGTTTCTTGTTTTGTTTTGTTTGTTTTGTTTTTCATTTCCTTTTCCTTTATGTTTCCCACTGGGCTGGAGACAGGAGAGCTATTTTTAACAGAGGATTACCTTGTACTAATAGCCGAGCCTCGTACTTTATGAGTGTTTTCCATTTAATTCTCTAGGTTCCCCAGCACCTAGCAGAGAGTCTCACAGCCTCACAGTCTGACACACAGTAAGCACTCCATAAATGTACACGTTGAGTGAATGGATGGGCCGTGTATTGGAGCTGTTTCTCAGCTCCAAATCCAGCCCTCTTTCCTCTGATTTTTAACTGGGCTCTCGGTAATCATGTTTCTCCTTCGCTGTCTGCCAGTCAAGATAGCAGGGAGATGGATGCTGGAGTTGAAGAAGGGACTTACTCCTTCTTGAGTACTTCCTGGGAGTGTCACTGGTGATGGACCAGCACCTTGGCAGTGGAAGTTGGTTCCAGTTGGCTCTCTTTTGCACCTTCCCAGCATCAGCTGACACTCAGCTCTGTGGGGCCCTAAGCTACTGCAATAACAGCACATCAGAAGCTGTCACCCCTTCCTTAGCAGTCTGTCTCAGCTCCATAGGGTCTTTCTGTCAAGCATCCAGTTTCTAATGCCCACAACCTCTGCCTTTTGCTCTCCCAGCCCTCAGCGGTCCTTTCTTTGCTCTTTTGGTTCTCCAGCAACTGGTTCTCTAACCAACTTCCTATGTCAAATTCTCTCTGTTAAAATAACTGATATGGTCTTCATTTTCCTGACAGGACCCAGACTTGCAGAATAAATAATAATCTGAAGAGATAGGTATGAGTTACCTCATTTTACTGTTATGAAAATGTAGACTGGGAGATGTTGTATTAACTTATCCAGATCCCCACACTAGAAAGTGTCAGAGTCAAGATTCAAAACCAGAGTTAAAAACAAACAAACAAACAAATTGCTCCCTGGTATTATGCAGTGAAACTCACAAAGTAGAACCTCAACTACATATGTTACTTATTTGATTTGTAAGATTGCCCAGAATATTTTGTGTGCAGGCATATGGCATCTGGTAGTTCTGTTTCATAACTGATTTCCATTTCAGCTTAGCTATGAGCTCACATTTGCCAATGATAGTGTTCCAGACAGTTTTATCATCCACATTGCTGACCTGGAAGATGCATCATTGTCTATGATATCTGCAATGGAAATGATCACTAGGCAATTTCAGCCTTGCAAATCTAACGTAAGTACACTTTCGTTTGATCAAAACCCCTTTGGTCCAGTCACTAATTTTCCTAAGGGTGGGAAAGAGCCCTCTTGTCTTATGCTCACTGGACTCCTTCCTAAGTATCTCTGTGCTGTCCCAGGGTTTCTTTCAGCCTGGAAAATAGGAGCAGGGGGTTGGAGACGATAGTTCCTGCTACATCCTTGGCACTCAGTATTGAAAAAGATAGAAGCCAATGAACAGATGCTTAGGAAGGTGCATCCTCAAAATTGTGGATAAATTTAAGTTGTTATCCAGGCAAAATAAAAGAGGCTAAGTATGTATTGTGTTGTTGATTAGCAGCTATATAATTACACTGTATGTTTATCAATATTTTAAAGGTATAGATAGGAAGAATCAACTAAGGGTGGGAGAAGGAAATAAAGCATTTTCCTGGTACTAGAAACACATTGTTGTTAGGAAAATAATCTCAATAAAGAACAAAGTCACAAAGAAAGCTGTAGGCTGCATCTCTCTGAGGATATGTATATAAAAGTAGAAAGACAGATTGCTTAAAAAGCGCTTAAGGGTTTGGTGAGCTTTCCTAGCAGCTATTTCAAATTTATATGCAAGACTGATATCTTTGAGTGTAAACATGCAGTTTGTGGTCCTCTTGGGGAAAGTGACATTGGTTCCTCCTCCTCCCCCAATCCCACCCTCTCAAACTCATCTCCTTCTCTGTATTTATTTGCATTTCCACTCAGGCACTTTGTATGTTCTATACTACATTATATTTGTTTGTATACCTTTGTCATTCCTCCACTAGATAATGCAAAGCTGACTCCCCAGTGCCAGGGCTATACATAATCTCTTAAGATTATACTAGATCTCCAGTGATTGTCTGCTGGATGAATAGTAGTGGTTATTTGTAGTAAATTTGCTGAGAACCTTAAAGCAGGATTCCTCAACGTTGTCACTATTGACATTTTGTTTTGGATATCCCTTGTGGTGGGTGCTGTTCTGTGCATTGCAGGATGTCTAGCAGCATCCCTGGTCTCTACCCACCAGATGCCAGTAGCACCCCCATACCCTCTGGTTGTGACAACCAAAAATATCTCTAGACATTACCAAAGTATCCATGAGGGACAAACTCACCCCTGGTGGCGATCACTGCTTTAAATAATCGCTTTATCAATTTCCAGGCTTTACTTATACTGCAAATGCCTCAGAATCACCTACCAAAATAAAAGATGGTAGGTTGCATTTTAAAGCAGTTCTCCTTCTACAGTATGAACCGTGATGGGCAGGCTGAGAGTGGAGAGACTTTCCCTTGGACCCTTGCTTCAGTAACTTTTAATCATATAAGATGGATCATCTGACTTTGGACTTTCTGAAACAATAGCATCGGAAAGTTAATCAGAGTTGGTGTTCTGAGAATTTGAGGAAAGAGATAAGTGTTTCCTCTGGATACTTCACTGTATTTCAGCAAATGAGCTCAGGAAAGAAGTCAAAGCTTCATCATGAAATAGAAGACTTCATTTTCAATATTTCTTCCTTGGCCTCTATGTGGCATTCCCTTGCTCTCTGTTCTGTTGACTTCTATGGCCTCAGCCCAACGGAGGACGGCATTATAGTGGGTGAACCCAGCAAACCCCAAACTGCCCCTGCTCCCCTCTCCCCCGGGCAGGTGTGCCCTCGAAGGCAGGCTTCTCCAAACCAGCAGCATGTGAACCCTGCCGGAGGTGAGGAAGAGCTCCAGGAGAACAGCCAGCAGCATCTGTTTTGCATACTAAGGGCAGCAACAATCAAATCTCTCCTAGAAAGGTTTTCCTGGACATTCATGGAGTAAAATAGAGTTGGATAAACAAGCTGGGTTTAGAGTGAGCAGCATTTGAACAGATCTCAGCTCCAAAGGTATTTTTGTGCCTTCCACCCTCCATTAGTGGCCTAGGCTGGGCTAGACCTGGGCAGCTGTCGAGGGGAGGACAACCTTGTCGGGATGTCTTCTATTAACAGCTAGCAGTAGGCTTTCAAATGGAATCAGTAGGAAGAAGACAAAATCCAATGACACAGACTCTGGGAGTGAAATTCCTCAGCAGAGGATGGTGGGGGCCTGGGTACACTCCACTGGACCAATCCTCGATTTGACTTCAGGCAGCGGGAAAGCTTGGATGTGTGTCTCTAAGTCCTGGAGTCCACGGATGTAGCTCCGCCCCCTGTGGCCTCTGCGTTGCTGGCTGGGTAGTTTGAGGCATAGAGGAGGGCCCAACTCTTATGCAGCTAGTTCCATTTTCTATATTCTAGCTCTACTTGAGGTTTTTCTTTAGCTTTATATTTTGAAATAATTATATTTTCACAGGAAGTTGCAAAAAGATACAGAGAGGTCTCATATATCTTTCCGCATCTTCACCCATGGTAAGATCTTACATGGAGGACAATACCCAAACTGGGACATTGACACTGGTACAATCCACAAAGTTTATTCAGATGTCAACAGTTTAGCAATCGTCTGTGTGTGTGTGTACAAGTGTGTGTGCCTATTTTTTACAGTTCTATTGCTTGGGTTTAAAATGGTTAGAAATTGGTCTTCCTCCTCTCAGGGGAGGGTAGAACTCTCAGGGAGGGTAGCAGAGTCACTGTGGAAAGGAGCTGACTCCCCTCCAACCTCACTTGCACCAGCCTTCCACATACTCACGGCCAAGTGCAACCCCAAGATTGCAATGTCCTTCCTGCTTTGTAAAGGTAGTCTTTCTCC